AAACTGTCATGGTGCTGGTGGGAGTGTCTTTTAACATGCTAATGCATTATAATTAATGTATAATGAGCAGTGAGGACAACCAGAGGTTACTTCGGTTGTCATCTTGTTTTGGTGGGTTTTAGCTGGTTTCCTTACCACAATCGTGTTTTATCAAGGGTCTTTGTGACCTGTATCTTGTGCCAGCCTCCTGTCTTATCCTGTGACTTAGAATGCCTAACCTCCTAGGAATGCAGTCCAGTAGGTCTCAGCCTCATTTTACCCAGGCCCTATTCAAGATGGGGTTGCTCCAGTTCAAACACCTCTGAAGGAGCCAAGGCCTTTTCTTTCAGAGTAGGTCTACTTGTTGTAGATCCATATTATCTGTGTTGGGGAAGCCATACCCATAATGTATCATGTAAGATTCCAGTTTGGGTTTTTTAAGTAGAACAATAATTTAGGCTCTTCAGATGAATTCTTAGTTTAGAATCCTTATAGATCTTTGCAATATTTTTTCCATTTCTTTGAACTATTTTCTTGGCCTATACCTAATTCAGCAGCGTAAGTATTTCACTTTTATTGAGTATTTCAGAGTCATTTAACTTTATAAAACTCCCCACTCTTCCATACTTCATTACGTTACTTAACATTTAATTAAATCACACAGTTACAATAATATAAATGGTATGAACAGGTTTGGAACCAAACACAACTAAAAGTGTAACTCACTGCTAGGAACCAGAAGTGTCTGGGTATACTAGATTAGAGGGCTCGACCTTTTTTTTGAGTGTACATGGTCTACTGCATTAACAAATTATGTACACTGTAATAGTGTAACTCTGAGGTTGAATTATATGTTTATGTTTTACCCACAAAATAGCAATTTTATATAGTTCAACCTAATATTAAATAACAGTATAAAGGATAAATGGCCATCCAATTAGATAATAATTGATCATGTCACAATATGATGTGTAAATAACAATCAAAAATAAATCATGTTTAAAAAGCCAGGTGATTCTTAGATTCTTTTAAGAAGCTATAGCTATGACAGCCACACATTCCTGAAATTCTGGGTCAGTTTTACTGTCAAATGTATTCTCTTTTTCTAAAAATTATCGAAATGCCACCAAAATATCAATCAGAACTTGTCTCCTAAACTGCCTCTTGTGCCTGAATTTGATACAGAAATACTTTTAATCAGTCTACCTGTCCCAATTTTTGTTACTGTAACTGAAGGACTTTAATGGAAAGGTGTTATGGCTAAGAAGTCTAGATAGACTGAAGAAGAGGAAGGATTTGAGTTGTCACATTCTTCCTCTTTATGGCATTCAACGTTAAGAATATAACTGTTATGTTATAACTGTATATTTTAAGAATATAACTGTTATAATTATGTAAGTTTAATAGTTCTCTCTCACTGTATTCTTAAAGCACATTAAACTTAATTTATTTCTCATAAAGCATGGGTTAAGTCCCATTGAAATAAACTCCTGGGAACTATTTCAATTATTTTGTTTTGTGTAAATTTTATAATAGATACTACTTGGCATTAAGAAGGGCCATTGACTGTACTATTTCATTTTTATATATGTAAATTTATGTAGTGATGGAATTTGACCTAATTTTCCATAATTCTAATTTGTAGCTTATCCAGTTAAATATAATTTTTCAACAAAAGCTATTTAACTTCCAAAAGCATTATAAAATCAGTTTTAAATTATTATTCTTTGGGGGAAAGAATAACTTTTTAGAAATTTGCTTTGGATAGTTTTCAAATAGCTAAGCATGTATAGAAATCTAAGAGATTGTAATGGATGATAAACTTTTATTCTAGAATCAGTGCAATTGAAATTTTACACTTTTTTTAGCCCTGTATAATTTTATATAAAACCATAAAGTAATAGAGTTGTAATTTAGATTTCAAAGGGTTTCAGCTCTGTCCTAAACACATTTCTAAAAATTTAACAAAACAAACAAAAGAGCTTTGAATCTGACATTGTTAATACCAAGATAGTTGAAATGCCTTCCTGATTGTTATGTCGACTAGTCTATGAATTACTGTCAGTATTTTTTCCTTCCTGATATTAAAACTGCCCACATCACATTTCACATGTCAAGAAAAATCAACTGTCTTTCTCCATGGAGTGAGACACAATCTGATAACATGCTCCAGCATAAGAATACAGAAATAACTAAATTTCATGCTCTGTGAAACTGAACCGGAGGGTTCAGTGTTAGAAACTGCCTTTTGTGCCTTGGCAAGTGCAGATGTTTTCTGCGTATCATACTAATTCATACAACTTATAAAGAGCTATATAAAGAGATGAGTGGTTTTAGGTTAGGTCACTTTTTAAAAGTTATTTTTTGGGTATAATTTGCTTGTCAGAGAAGTATCTTTAGATAGCTACAAAATTTATAAACACAGAGAAGAGAGTTAAATTCTTGAACTTCTTGAATACGGCTCTTCCAGTGTCTAGAGTGATGTGGTTTATCTCAAATAGGTAGAGTAGGGTCAGTAAACTTTTTCTGAAAGGGGCTAAATAGAAAATATTTTAGGCTTTGCAGACTACATGTGGTCTCTGTCAAATGTTCTTTGTGTGTGTATGTTTTTTTAATCCCTTTAAAAATGTAAAAATTTTTCTGAGCTGGGATCCTTTCAAAAACAGGCCAGGGGCCAGATTTGGCCTTCAGACTTTGGTTTGCTGGCCCTTGCTGTACATCAGTAATGTTCAATACAAATGTAACCTGAGTCACATGTTACTTTTAAATTTTCTAGTAGTCACATGGTGGGTGGTGGTGCTATTTTTTGTTAAGAGTCTTGTGGTGGTATTTGACCTTCAAACTACTACAAATATGTGAATTAGGTAAAAATAAAAACTAACTTTAAAATAAATGAGAAGAAACCAGGATAGAAAGGGGCTAGGATATTGGAAGAGAACATCTACAAAGACAATGGAGTCACCAAGAATATGGCAGGAATTCGGCTGTATTAACAGGACTATGGGCAAGGAACTGAAATCTTAATTTAAGAAGAAGAATAAATGATAACAAGGCACGTGAAGTTCAAATGGCATAAACCTCATAAAAAGGCTTACGAGAAAGATTTTTGCAAGACAGAGGAGGCCGTGTTCTAAAATAGACTTTGCTGAGATTTAACAGTTCTGTCTAATACATTTTATTATAATAGATGCCAACTACCATGCAAACTTCATATGTGCCTGACAGTGTGCTTTTAATAAAGAATTAAATCATCTGAAAATACATTTTATGATATCATGGACATTAATTTTGTATGTTGTGTTTCCATTAGTCAAGAGCCCTTTCTGTGAGAAACTAATGGGAAGACCTACAGTTCATTCTAAGAAAGTTTATTCTCTGTTATTCTCTTATTCCTAGTCAACTTCTTGAAAATATAAGAGTTTATGACAAAAATAACTAGTCAAAGTTCAAGATCAGCCAAAGTTTTCTGCTATCATAATGTGACGAAACCAATTGAATTTTAAATTTAGGTTTTTCCATTTCTTCTAATGTTGATTTGTAGTTACTGAACTAGACAGTGTGCCTGTTGATATTGTAGTCTTAAAAGAATTTATTTGTAAAGTGTCATACACTGCTTTAGTTTTTCTTTTTGTTTTTTGTTTTTTGTTTTTTTGAGACAGAGTCTTGCTCTGTCATCCAAGCTGGACTGCAGTGGCGCAATCTTGGCTCAGTGCAAACTCTGCTTCCCAGGTTCATGCCATTCTCCTGCCTCAGCCTCCCGAGTAGCTGGGACTACAGGTGCCTACCACCACGCCCGGCTAATGTTTTGTATTTTTAGTAGAGACAGAGTTTCACCGTGTTAGCCAGGATGGTCTCGATCTCCTGACCTCATGATCCACCTGCCTCGGCCTCCCAATGTGCTGGGATTACAGGTGTGAGCCATCATGCCCAGCCTAGATTTTTTTTAAGGAACAAGAATAAAGATGCCAAATTGTATGTTTTTGGTTTTTGTTTTTGTGATTACTATAGTACCATAGCCTTTCTTTCTATTACTCTATTATAATTTCCAAACTCTTCCAGGATTAAGAATTGGAAAGCTTAAGACACCTTTCCTGGCCGGGCATGGTGGCTCACACCTGTAATCCCAGCACTTTGGAAGGCCAAGGCCAGTGGATCACCTGAGGTCAGGAGTTCAAGACCAGCCTGACCAACATGGTGAAATCCCGTCTCTACTAAAAATACAAAAATTAGCCAGGCGTGGTGGTGCATGCCTGTAATCCCAGCTACTCGGGAGGCCGAGGCAGGAGAATCATTTGAATCTGGGAGATGGAGGTTGCAGTGAGCCGAGATCTCACCATTGCACTCCAGCCTGGAAAACAGAGCAAGACGACTTCTCAAAAAAAAAAAAAGAAAAGGCCCCTTTCCTAAATATTACATTATTTTTCTTTCTTTTCTACTCAAACTGCTTCTTCAAAATCATGGATAAATTTGATGCATTACAGGGTGGGAGGGAAGATACGGGTTTTTCACAAGTGATGAACCTGTAAACCTTAGAATTGCAAGGAACTGGTTAAGTGAAATTGGGAAGATTGCTACTAATTAAAGGTTTTTGAACTAATTTTAATGTGTTACAAAATGTGGTCCTGGTTATAACTTTTGAAAAGTTGAATACAAATGTGTTTCAACAATATGAAACATATTTTGCCTTTGTAATATTCAAGTTAAGGAGACAGGTTGAAGCACGGGAAAAAGAAACCAGAGTTTAAGAGTGTTTATTTCCTTTCACCTGAGTTCGGAATATTCTGCCTGAAAGGAAATGGGAAGTAAGGACTGGCTTGAACAAGGTCAGTGCCTAAAAGGCCCGGTGGCCTTCCTGCTGCCCAACAGAACACACGCCTCATCACTTCAGCAGGGCAGTGTAGATGAACTTTTGGCCAGTATCGCTGAAATTCCGAATGGAAAGGGACGTGGGCACTGCCTTAGCTACCTTCACATGCTACTCTGATTAATTTATTTTTCTCTTTTTCCTGTTTTGTCTTTAGATTTTATAATCAATGGATAAAGTGGGGAAAATGTGGAATAACTTCAAATACAGGTGTCAGAATCTCTTCGGTCATGAGGGAGGAAGCCGTAGTGAAAATGTGGACATGAACTCCAACAGATGTTTATCTGTCAGAGAGAAAAACATCAGCATAGGAGACTCAACTCCTCAGCAACAAAGCAGTCCCTTAAGAGAAAATGTTGCCTTACAACTGGGATTAAGCCCTTCAAAGAATTCTTCAAGGAGAAATCAAAATTGTGCCACAGAAATCCCTCAAATTGTTGAAATAAGCATCGAAAAGGATAATGATTCTTGTGTTACCCCAGGAACAAGACTTGCACGAAGAGATTCCTACTCTCGACATGCTCCATGGGGTGGGAAGAAAAAACATTCCTGTTCTACAAAGACCCAGAGTTCATTGGATGCTGATAAGAAGTTTGGTAGAACTCGAAGTGGACTTCAAAGGAGAGAGAGGCGCTACGGGGTAAGTTCTGTACATGACATGGACAGTGTTTCCAGCAGAACTGTAGGAAGTCGCTCTCTGAGACAGAGGTTGCAGGATACTGTGGGCTTGTGTTTTCCCATGAGAACTTACAGCAAGCAGTCAAAGCCTCTCTTTTCCAATAAAAGAAAAATCCATCTGTCTGAATTAATGCTTGAGAAATGCCCATTTCCTGCTGGCTCAGATTTAGCCCAAAAATGGCATTTGATTAAACAGCATACAGCTCCTGTGAGCCCACATTCAACATTTTTTGATACATTTGACCCATCTTTGGTTTCTACAGAAGATGAAGAAGATAGGCTTAGAGAGAGAAGGCGGCTTAGTATTGAAGAAGGGGTTGATCCCCCTCCCAATGCACAAATACATACATTTGAAGCTACTGCACAGGTTAATCCATTATATAAACTGGGACCAAAGTTAGCTCCTGGAATGACTGAAATAAGTGGGGACAGTTCTGCAATTCCACAAGCTAATTGTGACTCGGAAGAGGATACAACCACCCTGTGTTTGCAGTCACGGAGGCAGAAGCAGCGTCAGATATCTGGAGACAGCCATACCCATGTTAGCAGACAGGGAGCTTGGAAAGTCCACACACAGATTGATTACATACACTGCCTCGTGCCTGATTTGCTTCAAATTACAGGGAATCCCTGTTACTGGGGAGTGATGGACCGTTATGAAGCAGAAGCCCTTCTCGAAGGGAAACCTGAAGGCACGTTTTTGCTCAGGGACTCTGCGCAAGAGGACTACCTCTTCTCTGTGAGCTTCCGCCGCTACAACAGATCCCTGCATGCCCGAATTGAGCAGTGGAATCACAACTTTAGTTTCGATGCCCATGACCCCTGTGTATTTCACTCCTCCACTGTAACAGGACTTTTAGAACATTATAAAGATCCCAGTTCGTGCATGTTTTTTGAACCATTGCTTACTATATCACTAAATAGGACTTTTCCTTTTAGCCTGCAGTATATCTGTCGCGCAGTAATCTGCAGGTGCACTACGTATGATGGAATTGATGGGCTCCCTCTACCCTCAATGTTACAGGATTTTTTAAAAGAGTATCATTATAAACAAAAAGTTAGAGTTCGCTGGTTAGAACGAGAACCAGTCAAGGCAAAGTAAACTTTCCGGTCCCCAAAGGGTGTTAACTAGGTCCGCTTTCATGTGCATCAGACAGTACACCTATAGCAAGCACACGTAGCAGTGTTAGGCTTTTTCATACAGTATGTAAGCTTAGTGTTAGTATCTGTCAGATGCGACCTGCTGTTACTTATTCAGATAAATATGGTGCCTATTGGAACACCAGAGGATAGAGCTACAGGTGTTAAGTAAGACTACAAAAACATTTTGCCGATTTCGCTAACAGTTTGGTTTTTAATGGCTGTAGTATTTGAGTGAGGCAACTCTGGGGCATTTGTTATGAAGAATTCTATTTCTTACTGAAGAACAAATTATTAATATTGGATGAGTATTTCAACAGTGTGACTAATGTTTGAAATTATTTTTTCTAAGAGTTTTTCTATAACCTTCCAAAAATAGTGATGTTTGTAGTTACTATAAATCAAGCTTTGGAAGTCCAAAAAGAATAAAAGACTGCCTTCCTTTTAGAAAAAAATGCAATTTTCTGGCCACAAGGGCATAGTGCAGTTCACTTACGTGTTGATGTAGTTTATAATCAGATGCCTTTTCTCTTCTGCAAAAGGTACTGTTAGGTAATACAGATTTTCTAAGTCACTCATAAATTTCAGACTTACAATGTTAGTAGTAGAATTTTATTGAAAGGCCCTAGGTATTAATTTTTTAAATGAGTGCTTTAACTTAAAACAGGCGTTTGGAATAGCTGCTGCAATGTAGTCTTGCGTGTGATTTTTTTTTTTAAGTTGATGTGCAGTCTAATTGTTGTTTCCTAAAAGTTGGATCTGTTCCTATGCCCAAGATGATTTTGTGAACCATGAAGTACATGAGATTAGAAGATGCCCAAACAAGTCAGATAATAGTAACTACAGTGGTTGCTGATGTTGAGATATTGTTGAACTGTAATTAATAATTTGGATGGCAGAATTTGTCTCTTTTTTGTAAACTCTCATAGCTGAATTGCTTAAGTATAATTTATAGAATTTCAGTGCAGTTAATTCTTAATGGAAAATCTGAAACCTAAATTGCAGATTTAAAAGGTACTGTACAACCATTATATCTGTAAATAACTTTACTTAGCACCTTTTTGTCACTTAGAATAATATGTACTACTACTTGAGTGAGCTCTTTTGGAAGTTATATCAAGTTCTAGTGTTTGCTTCTTAGTAACTGAACTGAATTTACAGTTCTGTCCTAGACATTTTGCACTATAGTAGCCGAATCCATTCTTGTGTCTTTTTGTTAATGTGCTCTGTACCACTGGTGAGTGCTCCATAGTTTCCTTACCTGCTGCTACAGAATGTTATTTTACATCCCTATGGCTATTGCCAAGGCTACAAAAAAGAAGAGCTATATTTGTATGCAACACTAACCCTTTGACTGCTAATGTATGTTTCTGCTTGCTGTGCCTTGTTATGGCTGCTTTGTTTGTGCTAATAAAGTATGTTTGGTGTTCTCCTTGTATATCTGCTGTTTTATACTTTTGCAACAATTTCTCTTGTAAATGGAATGGTTTGGGGTTTTTAAATAAGCATTAACTAACAACCTTTTCATAGTTAATGCAGACTTACTGTACAGTCTAATATTGACTTATCAAAATAAGCTAACTCTAAATTTAATGCTCTACATCTTATCAGTCATAATTATATATACTGTGGAGCAGTATAGTTACTGCAAATTACTGTACAGTTTAGGTTATAACAGAAAACTGACAGAGAAGTAATAAATCTTTTGATTTCTCTGCTTATAAGTGAAAGATTGAAACTATCCAATGACATATTATAGTAAATGAGTATCTGTAACCTCCCACTGCATCAGAAGCAGGTTAAATGAAGTCTTGTGAATTTGTAATACATCAGTACCATTTATTGGTTTGGGGACCATCTTAATTAAAAATAAATGCCCAAAATGTAGAACTTTAACCAAAGACTTGTCCATTTTAAAGCAAAATGGGGATTGAAGGGACTTAGAATTTCTGTTGTTTCTAATTAAAGTCCCTGAAGATCATATACCAAAGTGTTTGAGAACTTCATCCAAACCTACTTTAAAGCATTATGTGCAATTAAGTTGTTATGACATAATTATATCGCATAATTGTTGGGTCTGTTTTCTTGAGCTTATAATGTACCTGGAAAATAAACCTCTTGAGAAACAAAAAGTTCATACTGATTATTGGAAAAGGACTATATATGAGAGCAAGATTGTGTTTTAGAGAGGAAACTTGAAACTCCAAGAAAGCACTTGATGTTTTTATATGCTTGTAGCAAATTGATGTTCTAACTGTAGTTTTATAGAAAGTATTAATGCTTTTATGTATTTCAAAACTTTCATATGTTAAATGGAAATTGTTTTAAATGTGTTTGAGTTTATGTAAGCATGTATACACTGTGCTAAAAGTCACTTATGTTTCAGTTTGTGTATAATAATATGCAATTTTTGGTTTAAATTTTTTTCTTAAAATATTAGTGGCTTACATTTTCAAAAACAAAAATCACCAGCATGAACTTGCACCTAAGTCTATATTCACTGTGTCCTTTTCTGAATCCCATTGTAGCCTGTCAACTAAATTTGAGTGTGTTATGGTCTTTTTAAAGTGCATTTAAATACAAACCAGGAATTTCTTTAGAAGTTGAGATACATCTTTATAGTTGAAATAATTAACCCAAGAAAAGGTTGCTTTGATTTGTACTCATTCTTATTCATTCTCTTCATTCTCTTCCACACACACACACACACACACACACACCCCTCTCCCTTCGCCTATATGTGTGTGTATGTATGCACATATATACATTTATGTTGTTAATATTACTTTAGATGGCATTGCCACCTGATACAAAAACATTTAGAGATCTTATCCTATAGATACTACCTGAAGAGTATTCTTGTACTATTCAGATTTTATTATCTGCACTAAAAGTTTAGTCTTGCTACTTTAGCCTTGTTTATAATACAGTCACCTTACAAAGAGAAAGCGTTCATCTGTATTTTCTTTTCTGGCTAAACACAGTACAAAATATTGGAAGCAAAACAGCTTGGATTAAATAGTTACTAAGAATTATCATTAAATTTATGTTTCTTAGACAAAACTTGGCCCAAATAATCATTATAATCATTCTCCACACACCAATCTGTTTTTAGCTCTCATGTTTACATAAGATTTGTAATGACCGGAACCGTAAGAACTGATACTTGAATTTTAAGCTTCATTTGACAAAATCCAAAGCTTAAGATTTTTTTTATTTCACATTTTGATCTGGTTGCTATTTATGTTTATTTCAAATCTTTCTTTTCTCTCGGCATTAATTTGGTAAGTTTTATTGAGACTGGTCTTAGATCTCTTATTTTTATAGCAAATACTGCTTTTTAGTCAAGCCAAAGAGCCTGTGATTGAATCAGGACCCTCCTTTTTTTTTTTTTTTTGGTAACAAGAGTCTCACTCTTGTCACCCAGGCTGGAGTGCAGTGGCCCGATCTTGGCTTACTGCAACCTCTGCCTTCTAGGTTCAAGTGATTCTCCTGCCTCAGCCTCCTGAGCAGCTGGGATTACAGGTGCCCACCACCACGGCCGGCTAATTTTTGTATTTTTAGTAGTGACAGGGTTTCACCATGTTGACCAGACTGGTCTTGAACTCCTGACCTCAGGGGATCTGCCCACCTCAGCCTCCCAAAGTGCTGGGATTACAGGTGTGAGCCACCGCGCCTGGCCATAGGACCCTCCTAAGAAGGATACAGAACCAGGTCCGCCTTTGACAGTGTTAACATAAAGCAAATAGCACTGATTTGTTTGCTTACCTGTACCCCAGCACATACAGTTTTACTTAGATGAAATTAGGTAGAAATGTATACCAAGGGCTGACTTGAGGGTAAGAAAGTTCCAAAGAGGGCAATGCTGCTTGGCCCACGTGCATAAAAGCTACATATATTTGAGGCTCTGGTTTTGTTGTATAATTTTGCAACAGCCGATCCAGAACATAGACTTTTAAAATAGTATATTCTAAAGAGGTTTGGGATGGAAATTTTGTGGGAGGTAGCTGGTTATTTGTTGGGGATGGGAGGAGAGGTTGCTATTGCAAAGTGTAGATGAGTTGGAGCAATTGTTTTGTTTTCATGCCCTGGATGCTTGATTGAACATTAAGACTCTCTTCAGCCATGCAGTCAACAAATATTTATTGAAGACCCATGTGCCACTCACTATTTTAAGTATTGGGTGTACATTGGGGTACAAGACAAAGCTTTACTGCCTTCTGGAGTTTATTGAATTATAGTAGATAAGACAGCAATGAAATGGTAATTTCCGAAGCTATGAGTAAAATGAGGCAGAATATGGTGGTGGAGGGACTGGGGCACAATTTTATAGGTTCGTAAGCTTGAATGATAAGAAAATTAGACCAAGATCAAAGAACAAACGTTTGAGATGAAGAGAACAATAAAACTAGTCCCCAAAGCACAAATGGAATTATTTGCTGAGAAATAAAGAATGCCGGTAAGGTAAGTCCATTGAGTGGAGGAGAATAGTAGGTGATGAAGTTCTAGAGATTGGCAAGAGCCTGACCATTTAGGGCTATGCACCTCCAGTGAGGGATTTAGGATGTTGTTTTGAGTGTGATGAGAAGCCACTGGAGAGTTTTAAGCAAAGGGGATGTGTGGTGTGTTGTAAATTTCACTGGTCAGTGGAGAAAAGACTAGAGGAACAAGGTAAGGAAGACTTTTATAGTCATCCAGGTGAGGGATGGTGGGACCTTGGACCAGGGTGATAGTCATGGGGAGAAGTCAGAATTGGGGTATGTTTTAGTGGTAGAGCTGATAAGACTTGGTGATGGATTAGATGTGAAGAAGAAGAAAAAGATCAAAAGATGACTCCAATGTTTGGTGTGAGAGGGGTGGTGCTGCCATTAACTGCGATTTAAGAAAACCAATGGAGGAGCAAATTGGAGGGTATAAATCAAATCCTGCCTTGAACATAATTGAGTTTTGAGATTCCTATTAATAATTCCAACAGAGACATTGTGTAGTAGGCAGTTGGACATATGAGTGTAGAGTTTAGGGGAGAAAATTAAAATGTGGAATCACTAGGCCAGGCATGGTGGCTGACACCTGTAACCTCAGCGCTTTTGGGAGGCCAAGGCAGAAGAATCACTTGAGCCCCAGATTTTGAGACCAGCCTGGGCAATGTAGCAAGACCCCATCTCTACACAATAAAAATTAGCTGGGTGGGTTGCCATGCGCCTGTAGTCTCAGCTGCTTGAGAGGCTGAGAGGCAGGAGGATCACTTGAGACAGAGCCAGCTCCTGTCTCTCAAAAAATATTAAAAATGAAATGGGGAATCACTATATTGATAGTATTTGAAGCCACAGAACAGGATGCAACAGCTAGGTATTTTGCATGAGATTAAGAATTTCTTTGGAGGAAATAATTATGACAACATTTAGTTTGTCAATTCAAGATTCTGTATCATTAGATGTTTTTAAAAGCCGTCTGCTTTCAATAGAGGACTTGTCTTCCAAAAAGTTTTAAGATACTGGGATCAAACCTTGCGCTGAATCTTAAAACTTTATCCGTGTCAAATTTGGTTGTCATGCTTTCCATGTCAGATTTGCTTGTGTATCTTTTTTAGTGTGAGTTTTTATATGATAAATCCAAGTTTGTTATGGAATATTTAAGAAGTACTAAAGATTATAAAAGAACTTACCAAAAAACATTCATACTGTTAACTGAACATTTAGACTCTGACCATTCATTCCACAAATATTAATTGAAGACCATGTGCCAGTCACCATTTTAGGTAACGGGTATGTATTGAGGTACATTACTACGACCAACCCTACTCCTGCCCCTTCCAACTCCCATTTTGAAATTTTCCAGAGGTAACTGCTATTAATATTTGGTACATTCCGTTTCTTTTTTTTTTTTTTTCATGTATTTTTAACAGTTTAAAAAAATCACATAAAAGATAAAGTTGTACATCTTGAGTCAGTTACTGAAGGATTTTTTTGAAATAGGATTTCAGTAGAAGATTAAGACCCTTACTTTACTAAGTTTATAAACTGGTGGGGAGGTAGGCAAATATATAAATGTATGGTTATGAGAATATATGGAAATAAAGTAATTAAGTAAAAACTGGTTTCACTGGTGATAAGGAAAAACAGAAAAGTGACCCAAGTGGAGTAGGGATGATTGGAAAGGTATTGGGTTTCTTTTATTACAAGAATGAGAATTTCATTTAGCAGAAGATGATGGAGAGGCCAGGTGCAGAAGTAAGAGAGGCAGGTAGCAAGAGAAGAGGGGCAGGATTGAGGTGGAGGAATCAGGTGCTTGTAGCATACGCTGGACTGAACAGTCTGAAATTATCTAGGCTCTGCAGCAAGGAAGAATTAGAAATTATGGCAGCAGCTGTAAGACAGCCTATAACCAAGAGGGATTGGAGTTAGGAAATCCTGTGAAATTTGCCTAGATCAGGTCACTAGCACTGGAATCAAACAGGAGCACATGCAGAAGAAAAATCAGCATAATTTTTAGTAAGGAAAAGCAAGCAGTATGCGTGCCTAGGAGACTTCTAGTTAAATAAGTCATAGTTTCTCCAAATTTAAGCAAATCATAAGCCAACAGTAAAGTAAATCATAAGTTTACAGTAAAGTAAGATGTATATTGGATATTATGGATATCCAATTATGGATAACATTTTAAAAGACATTTTAATGCAAAAAGTATTCGATCAAATAAGGAAAACACTACTGACTATGCTTACGTTAGAGAAAATAGGATAACTTTTCTATGGATAACATTTTAATTATGGATAACATTTTAAAAGGCATATTTTAATGCAAAACATATAAGATGTGATTAAATAAGGAAAACTATCACTGCTAACTCTGCTTAAGTAGAGAAAATAAGAACATGAAAAAAAGTTAAAGCAACATCAAAAAAACTTTTACTTGACAAAAATGCTAAGAAAAGGTGGCACAACCTTAAATCTTAAGAGGGAGTTACTGAATTTAATCCCCAAAACACTTATAATTGATGTAGTTTTTCTCATTTCTCAATTATACTAAGTATGAAAACTGCTTTGAATTTTTTAAATTTATTTTTATTTTTATTTTTTTGGAGACAGAGTCTCCCTCTGTCGCCCACCCTGGAGCGCAGTGGCATGATCTCGGCTCACTGCAACCTTTGCCTCTCAGGTTCAAGCAATTCTCGTGCCTCAGCCTCCAGGTAGCTGGGACTACAGGCGCGCACCACCATGCCCGGCTAATTTTTTGCATTTTAGTAGAGACGGGGTTTCACCATGTTGGCCAGGCTGCTCTCAAACTCCTGAGCTCAGGCAATCCACCCACCTCGGCCTCCCAAAGTGCTAGGATTACAGGCGTGAGCCACTGCACCCGGCCTTTTTTGAACTTTTGTTGCTTAGTAGTAGTATATTTAGAAATATATAGCATTACTGCCTGACATTTCTTTTTCTGGGTATTTTTACTGAATATTCCTTCCCAGCTAGCAACCCAAGATTTTAGGGTTGTTTTTGTCTTTTACCTAATGTAAATCTATCATTACACTGAATGGTTTAATTTCTTCTTACCTGTCTTTAATATATAAATAATCATGCCCTTAATCCTACCTAACATTTTATTTCCTTTAATTTACAAAGGGTGAATTATTTTAAATTTATTGTGCTTTTCTTAACCCTTTAAGTCATTTTTTAAAATTGAACTTGAATACTTAATTTTTTGTGGTTGTTGTTGTTTTGTTTTTGTTTTTTTTGAGACGGAGTCTCGCTCTGTCGCCCAGGCTGGAGTGCAATGGTGCTATCTTGGCTCACTGCAAGCTTCGCCTCCCGGGTTCACGCCATTCTCCTGCCTCAGCCTCCCGAGTAACTGGGACTACAGGCGCCCGCCACCACGCCTGGTTAATGTTTTGTATTTTTAGTAGAGACGGGGTTTCACCGTGTTAGCCAGGATGGTCTCTATCTCCTGACCT